TAGATAGATAGATAGATAGATAGATAGATAGATAGATAGATAGATAGATAGATAGATAGATAGATAGATAGATAGATAGATCGATCGATCGATCGATCGATCTAAAAAAATCATAATTTCAGTAGTCACAATTTTAGAAATGGTGTTCCCTTTTTTTAAAAATATTCAGAGACTTGCTCTGCAGATTAGTCTCAGGTTAGAAGGCCTACTGTATTTACAAAACAACAATTGCATTATTTTACTGTATGAAGTACAGTCTCATATTGAAATAAATTATAATCACCAAAGTTTTGGAATCACATGTGTGGTACATTGTCTTTCTAAATACTATAGTAATTGATAGATTATTGGTTAAAATACTAAATGATTGAACTTTTAGTTTCTGCAGTCTTTCATAACTCAGGAGAATTCAGATCTGGTTGAGAAATAAACAAATTTTGATAAGATCTGTGATTTGTATCTGGTTAGTTTCATCAGAAAGTAGCCAGTGCAGTAGCAAAGCTAAAGAGCAGCAACAACTTAGTTTATGAATCCTGCCATCAGTACAATAATAAAATAAAAAAAATCTGCATAACTTGAAGCCTTCTGTCATTAATGTGTGAATGCAATAACTGAAATTACATTTCAGAAGACAAATGAGGACAACTCTGAGCTCTTTTCTTCAACCTGTGCTTTGAAATATTTTAGAAATGTTTGTTTGAATATAATTTTTGTTTTGTTTTGTGTTCCAGAATTTGGAGCTGGTGAAGGTTGACGATATGTCAGATATCATCATCAGGCAAGGCCGAAGATAAAAAAAAAAACAATGAGTTAATGTGATTTTTGTTTGTTTGTTTGTCTATCTTTGCTTTTTATGTCTTTATTGTGCATTTCTGATGTATTTGTCCAGAGAAATGTGCTTTTAATCTCTATATCAGCGTAACATGTGTTGCTTTTACTTTTGTACCTCCCGTGAATATTTACTGTGTAGATACTTTTAACTGCTCAAACACCACACAAAGATGTATATTGTCAAAATAAACGTTTTTCATAAATGTGGTGCATAACTTATTTACCACAAAGTTAATTAAAAGATCGAGCTGAATGTTTTCAGCATACGTGTGACAGTTTGAATTACTTTGTCACATCAGAGCAGCGTGCAGCAGCTGCTGAGGTAATGATCAACACCTCATCGTCATCTTATTGGAAAGAAGTAAAACTGGTTTGTCGAGACGCCTGCTGCTGGCTGGGTGTGACATCAGTTCAGCAAGAAACAAGGAGGAGCTGCTGTGCTGTAAACAACACTACCGGTCATCTGATAAAAGTACTTCAATGTCATTATTGTGTAAATGTTACAGGAATAGTTGATCCTCTTCTCAGTTTCATGATTGGTATGTGAAACCAAACACCTCTCACCCCCAAAACATTATTTCAAGGAATAATAAAATAAATAATTTTTAAAAAGTTTTATTTTTTAGAACCCTTGGCCAAAAAGATTTAAGTCACAATTCCTAAAGGGAGCTTATTTAATGTCGATTTTTATAGAAATGTTTTTAAGAATAATCCTCAAAGGTCAATCTTGGGTCTACTTTTAATCTTTACATGCTGCCTTTGGGGTCCATTAAAATAAGTTAAAAATCTAACCTTCCGGTCCCTGCTTTGCCGATAGATCCAGTTTTATCTGCCCATTAAGTTAGTCACTCTACTGGAAATAAATGGCATTAAAGTTTGGTTGAAACTAAATTTCTTGATTCTAAAATGGGAAGAAAAGACTGCAGTCATCGGCTTTGTTAAACATATAGTTGACCCTTTGCCTTTACACAGCCACTCTGCTGTCAGGATCTGGGTGTCATTTTTGATACAGCTCCTATATTACACAAATATAAATACAGTTGTGAAATCTGTTGTTTTTTTTCCTTCCAACTAACTTGTTGGCCTGGGGACATCCTATCTCCCCATCAAAGACTTTGAGAAGGTGATTCTATTTTTTTTTTTCCTCAGACTGTTGTAACGCTCTATGTTGGCTAGAAGAATACAATAGAAATACAGTGGTTTGCAAAAGTATTCATACCCCTTGAACTTTTCCATATTTTGTCACATTACAACCACAAACATAAATATATTTCACTGGAATTTAATGTGAAAGACCAACACAAAGTGGTATACAATTGTGAAGTGGAAGCAAAATTTTACATGAATCAAAACATTTTTTACAAATAAAAACTGAAAAGTGCGACGTGCAAAAGTATTCAGCCCCCTTTTCCCTGAGTGCAACCAATTGCATTCAGAAGTTGCCTGATGACTGCTAATGACTCAAAAGGGTCCACCTGTGTGTAATCTAATCTCAGTACAAATACAGCTGCTCCGTGACGGCCTCAGATGTTGGTTAAGAGAATATTYGGGAGCAAACAGCATCATGAAGTCCAAAGAACACACCAGACAGGGTAGGAATATGGTTTTGGAGAAGTTTAAAGCAGGCTTAGGTTATAAAAAGATTTCCCAAGCTTTGAACATCTCACGGAGCACTGTTCAATCCATCATCCGGAAATGGAAAGAGTATGGCACCACAGTAAACCTGCCAAGACAAGGCCGTCCACCTAAACTTACAGGCCGAACAAGGAGATCACTGATCAGAGAGGCAGCCAAGAGGCCCATGGTGACTCTGGATGAAATGTAGAGAGCCACAGCTCAGGTGGGGGAAACTGTCCACAGGACAACAATTAGTCGTGCACTACACAAATGTGGTCTTTATGGAAGAGTGGCAAGGAGAAAGCCATTGTTAAAAGAAAACCATAAGAAGTCCCGTTTGCAGTTTGCCAGAAGCCATGTTGAGGACACAGCAAACATGTGGAAGAAGGTGCTTTGGTCAGACGAGACCAAAATTGAACTTTTTGGCCACAATGCAAAACGCTATGTGTGGCGGAGAAAGAACACTGCACATCACTCTGAAAACACCATCCCCACTGTCAAATATGGTGGTGGCAGCATCATGCTCTGGGGGTGCTTCTCTTCAGCAGGGACCGGGAAGTTGGTCAAAGTTGATGGGAAGATGGATGGAGCCAAATACAGGGCAATCTTGGAAGAAAACCTGCTGGAGTCAGCAAAAGATTTGAGACTGGGGCGGAGGTTCACCTTCCAGCCGGACAACGAGCCTAAACATAAAGCCAAAGCTACAATGGAGTGGTTTAAAAAAAAGAATATTCATGTGTTAGAATGGCCCAGTCAAAGTCCAGACCTAAACCCAATTGAGAATTTGTGGCAAGATCTCAAAACTGCTGTTCACAAACGCTCTCCATCCAATCTGACTGAGCTTGAGCTGTTTTGCAAGGAGGAATGGGCAAGAATTGCAGTCACTAGATGTGCAAAGCTGGTGGAGACATACCCTAAAAGACTTGCAGCTGTAATTGCAGCAAAAGGTGGCTCCACAAAGTATTGACTCAGGGGGGCTGAATAATTTTGCACATCGTACTTTTCAGTTTTTTATTTGTAAAAAATGTTTTGATTCATGTAAAATTTTGCTTCCACTTCACAATTGTATACCACTTTGTGTTGGTCTTTCACATTAAATTCCAGTGAAATATATTTATGTTTGTGGTTGTAATGTGACAAAATATGGAAAAGTTCAAGGGGTATGAATACTTTTGCAAACCACTGTATATGACACCTCTATTTTTTATTCTGTACAGAAATGTGGTTGACTTCAATTTACACAATTTCAGCTTGAGAGTGTAGGGTTCACCTCAAGTGAGAAAACAAGAATTTCTGCCTCTAAAATAGTTCTGAGTGGAACAGAGTTTCTGTCCTCGAAAGCCTGTCTGAGGCCTATTTTAGAGGCAGATATTCTTGTTTTCTCACTTGAAGTGACTCCTACAAGAGACATCAAGTATTTGAAAAACATAACTAAGTAAAATTACATGAACAGAAAATGACGTGTAAAAATAAATTTCACTGATGAGAAAAAAACTACTCAAGTAAAAGTCATAAAACTGTTCACAAAAATTGGGAAAGTAAAAGTAATTTTACACACTAAGAAATGTTGAATTACTGAACCAAACTGGCTCCACTACTCAACTACTGGTTGAGTAAATTCAGCAATATATGTATCATAATGTACAGTATGTGAAAATTATTTGCTCAATTTACACAACTAGGCTTAGTAAAGCCAATTGACATGACTGTTTCGTAAATACAACACTTCATATTTTTAGAGTGCATCTAAAACAAAGTAACATCTTTCATGAGTTCAAACATTATTTAATTTTATAATGAGTAACTTACATTTTAAAGTAAAGAAGTAAAAGTATCATTTTTCACTTTAAAATGTAACAAAAGTAAAAGTAGCTAAAAAAATAATTAATAAAATTACAAATTCTCAAAAATATTAAGTACTGCAATGAAATAAATGTACTTAGTTACTATAAACCTCTGTCTTAAATTGAGCTTGCTCCAAAAGTAAGATTGTTTATTGTGTCTGTAAAAAGCCTTTACCTTTAATGTTTTATGCTTTTAATACTGTAATAAATCTATCATGGTAAAAATCATAATAAATAAATAAATCTCTTTCATCCAAAGAAAAAAATGAATTCTAAAGTGAAATTTATTTATTTATTAATTTTACAGAATACCAGATGTAGTGTAACCTTCACTAGCCCTATAAGTGAATCATAAATGTTCACCCCTTTAACCTGATCCTTGTTCTACTCAGAACAGATTAAATTAGAAATGGCCTGAACTTAAAGTGCTTTATCAAGTCCCTACAGGCTCCAAAGTGCTTCATTACAGTCATTCACACTGGTGGTGTTAGGCTACATTGTAGCCACAGCTGCTCTGGGAAGACTGACAGAGGTGAGGCTGCGTGCACAGCTGTGTGAAGCTGACACCCCACCCACACAAAAAATCCAAGCAAGTAAGCGGATTGGTTAGTGCTTCGTTTGTGCAGGTTTGTGCAGTTAAAATGAGCGTTTGTGCTGTTATAGTTTTTGAGATATTAAACATTATGTCTGTAGTTCTTTATGACGTCATCATCCCCCCAGCAACCTCCGAAATTAACCAAAACAGTATACTTTTTTTGTGCTTCGTTTGTGCAGCTTAGTGCAGTAGAAATGAGCGTTTGTGCTGTTACAGTTTTTGAGATATTACAAGTTTTTACTTTAACGCGATGACATCATCGTCCCCCCAGCAAGCTCCGAAGTGGTGACGTCATCGGCCGAAATTATAACTGCTAATATCTCGAAAACAAAAGCTGCACAAACGACAGTTTTTACTGCACAAACGGAGCACTAACGAACTAGCCCACTTTGGTTTGTTTTTGGAGCGATATGGGGTGATGGTGAACTCTAGATGACCAAAAAATATAATATTTCATATCTCGGAAACCAAAACTGCACAAACGACACTTTCAACGGCACAAAACTGCACAAACGGAGCACTAACGATTCTGACTATTTGATGGATTTTTTGACGTGGGTGGGGTGTCAGCTTCACACAGCTTGTGTGCACTGGTGCCACTGGGCCCTCTGACCACCATGGGGGTGGGTTTCCTTGCCCAAGGATGCAACAACTGAGATGAAGTCCCCCTAACCACTCTGCCACAGCCTTGATGTGTAAATTTTAAAAAAAATTGTAAAGACAGATGAAAATAAATTGAAAAACTTGCCTCATTAGTCACCATGGTAAATGTCTGTCACTCTGATAAAACAGGATGGATACCAAAGGGTTTCCTGAGCTCTAAACACCTCCAGGAGTTCTGTAAAATCCTTTTATCAAGAAATGAAGGGGTATGAGATGTGTGCAAATCTATGAAGAGCAGGCATCCTCACAAAATGAGTGACTGCGAGGAGGAGGATCATGAGAGCCCACTGAGACACGTGAGCACTTTGAAGGAGTCACAAACTCCAGCTGGTGAGATATGAGAGAGACTTCATATAACCATTGTCTGGGTTCTTTACCAGTTCAAGCTTGTTGGGAGAGTGGCAAACAGAGAGGGAACTTATTTCATCTCAACAGTTTGCTCAATCCCTCCAGAATGGAGACCCCAAACTCCCATTAACTTCCATTGTATCTGATCAGGGAGTGACAGACACAGCTTTGTGTTTACCATGGTGATTCTACTGAGGCAATAGTTTTCACATGTCTTTTGATTTTGGCTTTCTTTATATGTATATGCAATTCACACATGCAAATAATGGCATTTTGTCAATTTAGTTCAAAGGAAAGTCCCAAACTGGCTTTACAGAAAGTTGATGTAGCTCTGGATTTCAGGCCCCTTTTAACATTTCTTAACATTTGTTTTAGTTAAAAATACAAGTCAGTTCCTGGACATGATTTCACGGTTGCTCCGTGAAACATAAACATGAACGCAGGTTCACAGCCTGAGTATTAAACCACTGAAGATGACAACAGATGCAAAACAATAGGGAAGTAAAGTGAAATCCCTTCAAAATAAAAGCATGCTCACTGTGCAATTTTAAGTCTTTCATGAAAGGTATATTTAAAACAACCCAACATGCTTAAAATAGCATAATTAATAGAAAATAATTTTAAAAACTTTTCTAAACTTCCAATTCACAAGTAAAACCTGAAGCCGGCTTATTACAATGTTTTAATTTTCTTAGCAACAATGTAACTTCCTGTTTTGAAAAGTTGATTTTAAAAGTCTGCCTGAGGAAACAGTATGCGGTGTTATTCACTTGACACTCGGAGAGGAATTTAATTTGAAGGCGAAAGAAAAAAAAAAACCTGAAACCAACCAGGAAGTTGAATCGAGGAAGAGGAGAGTTTCTTCCTCGGTGGTTTCTTCGGTGAAGCGTCAAACTTTTACGTTTTAAAGCAGTTTTAAAGGGTTTTAAGTCAACACCGGTAGCCTGTAAAAGTTTTTCTGTCTTGTTTTCCGGGCGGAGGATTTAGTTTGTAACAAGATGGACTACAAGCCGGTAAGTCTGCTTTTGTTTTTGTTTTGTTTGGCTCGGTTCTTCACCGACACCATTTTCCTGCCAGACATGATGAGGCAGGTGGAGGCTCAGGTGAAACCAGCGAACACGGAAGTGAAAATTGTCGAAAAATGTTTGTAAAAGTCACCTAAAGTGTTGTGTCAACTTGTAGATGTTTAATAACAGTTCAGCTCAAGAACACCAGAAAATAAAGTGTTAAGCCACAAAATAGTGACAAAAGTTTTCATCCAATCTACTTTATATTTAAATTTTAAATGATAAAACACAAGTTTCTCATATTTAATATTTGCTAAACTCCACTGACTGAGATGTAGATGTTTAACTTCACAAAGATATGAAACTGAGCTCAACTTTAGCTAAAAACATTCAGCCCAGGGGTTCTCAACTGTTTTATAAACCCCATGCTGTTTTGACCATAGTTTACTGTCATTTTAACCCCTAAATGTCATGGGAATATTAGTTTTGGTTTGGTTCAGTGTGTTTGTTTTACTAGTGTGTAACTCACCACATGCATTTATTTAAATAAAAAACAAATGAACAATTTTTGGAGACATTTTTTAGGACCCCCAACATGCTTGACCCCAGTTTGAGAACCTCTGCGTTGTTAGCCTAAAGAAGGGAAGCAGAGGACAAGTGAGTCAAAACCAGTACAGCAGTGGGGGCAAACTCATTTTAACTGGGCGTTATGGTGGCCCTCGAAGGGCCAGTTGTAAACTTTAACGTTTTATGTTTGACTTTGACTAAACAATGTTTTAACATGTCCTCTTTTAAACACTGATAAGAACTAAGTGTATGACTGAGTAAATCTGTAATAAATACAGAAATATTATTAAAAGTAAAACTAATAAAGTTTTACTCACTGATGAGTTTCTAGTGAGTAGCTGCATTATGTCAGATTTAGTTTATGGTTGAATTGTTTGTATGTTGTTGTTTGATGTTTCCATGTTGTTTTTTATTTTAGTATTGTTTTGTAAATTATGTTTCGTTTGAATATATTCTGGGAATAAAAGGGGCAGACATAAGATTTTTCTTTTTATTTTGATTTTTGATTTGTGTATTTTCTTGTTTTTTAATAGTTATTTTTTATTGAAATGAATAAATTTTTGAATTGAAATTGCTCTTAAAGCCAATAGCTCAGGGGCAGAACAATTATCTTTCACATTTTAAATTTATTTTTGTTGCATTTAATCATCAATTGAAAGTTTGCTATTGATATAAGAAACAATTTTCATGTTAAGTAAAAAAAAATACTTTAATTAAAAAAAATTTTGGGGGGGACACGGGAGTGACCATCTGGCCCGCGGGCCTTGAGTTTGACACGTGCACTACAGGATGAAACGACTAAGATCCTGGATTACACCAGAGGAAAACTATGATAACCCCCTAAATGAACGCCTCAGACGGCAGAAACTTGCTAAGAAGGAGGAACAAGAAAAGCCAACATGTCAGAAAGAGAAGTGCCTGCACATCATGTAGCACCGATGAGGAAGTGACTGTTATCAATGAATACTACCAGTGGTTAACCAACCAGACGTTGTGGTGGTCAACAAACTACAGTAGAAGGCAGTGGTGATGGATGAAGCAATCCTAATCAGCTGTAACATCAGGAAGGAGGGGAGTGAGAAGATGGAGAAATACCAAGAGTTGAAAGAAACAGAACTCTGTGCTGAGACCCCCAAACTGGAAGAGTGGCTTCAACAGATCCCAGAAACAACCTCAGAGGTCTCTGTCCAGGGGAGTGCAGTCCTACAAACTAAACTCGTATTCAGACCTGATAATTTGCTCCGCTTTAAACTAACCGAACTAACTGCATTAAACATGCACCTTTTTTTGGACTTCACGGGCCACCGTTGCTGAGCTAAATATACTGAAATCATACCTGTTTCATCGTCTCCTATTAGCAGCTCTGCTGGCAGCATGTTGTGGGTCAGAACACGCAGCGCACCTCGTCTCCTTTGGGTCGTGGGACACATTTACTGACTCCGCTCCAAAATCAGAATTTCATCATGGAACCACCATTAAATTAGCTGCTTCTGACATTTTAAATGCTATTGCAGTTGTAATATTAGCAAAAATGTGCACATCAGAACCACAGCATGCAGGACTTCCTTGTTTTCTTCTGGGTCTGTGGCTCAGTCCCGCCCCCATCCTTTTTTTGTCCAGTGGGAGCAATGATCGTCACCCACATGGCCTTGTTTACAAGTTATAGTTCGTTTGCAAAAAAGCACAATTTGAATGCAAACCACACCAAACGAAAAAAAAAAAGTCCACTTTTGATCCAGACCAAACAAGTGGACCAACGGACTTTCCTGGTCTGAAAACACCTAAGATACTGAGCAGAACGCTGCTAGGGCCTTTCATAAAATGTTCACACTTATTTAGGAGATGTTTTTCCTTCTTTTTTTTAACTTGTAAGGCTCTATATACTGATTCCAAAACTGGTTGTTTTTTTTGGACCACCCTTTAAGGATTTAGAGGTCATCAAAGCTTAAAAATGAAGAAGCAAGTGCTTCATTTCTTCATAACACCATAAAAACAATCGCTGAGCCCCATAAACATGGAGCATATCACAGTTTTGCAACGTGTTTCTTTTAAAACCAAAGCAGAAAACAAACTAGATAAAACATTTAGTCTAAGCGTTAAAATAGTGACTGAAGATCACAGAAACCTGACCCACACACTGCTGGAGTCCAGCAATGAGTTTATTGAAGAGCCTGTCCAGGCCTCTGGTAGAAGATCTGAACTTGAAGTAAAGCAAAGTGGAAAACTAGGGTGAGTTTTGTATACACACACACACACACACACACACACACACACACACACACACACACACACATACGTACGTTCAGAGTCTAGTTAAAAATGATCAGCTCTTAATATTCCAGGAAGTCACAGCTCAACATGATTTTGAATTCTTTTTAAGGTGAGTGTGTGGGTGTCAAACTTGCAAACAAATATTTCTTGTGTGTTTATTCCATTTTACTTTGAGCAGCTTTGTATTTGTACTTCATTATTAAACTTAATACAGATACCTGTGTTGTTGAGGCTTATTTGAGCGGAGTTTAGTGAATGGCTGTGTAATGTAAGATGTTGCACAGCTGTTAAAATCTATTCAAATTCATGAGCATCTACAGCAAAGACTAAAACTTAAAGCTTTGTGTTATTTTATGCTAAGAATTTTGGCCTAAAGGACAGAAAAATCTCAGTGCAAGCATCAAAGCTTCTTGTGTTTTTAGGGAAATGTAACATTTGACTAAATAAAGAGTGGACAGTTTGAGATTTTTAAGCAGTTATCATTCACGTTCCATTCATGCCGGCAGACAGGACTCCCTATAGCTGGGATGTCCGAACTGATTTTGTGTGGTCCCTGACTTAGTCCAAGAATTATACTAATTTGTTTGCAAATTTGTCCCCCCGGCACAGGTGTTTGATGTAGATGGAGACTTATTTATTATTAGGGCAAATTTATCTCAAAGTAAAATCTTCCAATAAAAATATTGGCAACAATACCAATTATTTGTATTTAAATAACCAGACTCTTAGCTTTTTCCACATCTATTTAGTGACTTCTACTCAGAAGCTGATTTTGCTGCACTCCAATCTGCTTTTAATTCTTTTACTAAATTCATCTGAATACAGCAAGAATTTTCAACGAAAGAGTGACCTAAATCCTGATTTTATTGATCAGAATTGACTAAATTGGATTATTTTTTTCTCAATTGAAACCTAGAAAATTGCAAAAATTTCTTTCAGTAAAATAAGGGAATCCTGCAAAACAATTTTAAAGTTCTGGATCTAGATTAATTTACGCACCCATTTCCAGCAATAAATTTGACTATTTTATTTGTTTAAAGTATTCAATGATTAGTTTAATGTTGAGCAGGTAAAGGAAAAATATTTTGGCCCTCAAGTCCTTCTGACTTTATGATTTTGGCCGATGTGACAAAACGTTTGGACACCCCTGTTTTAATATCCACTCAGTTAAAACATTCCTTCAGTATCACCTTCTGTCCTTTTCTATCAGTTCAGTAAGTGTACAGCATCTAATCTGTCAGGTTTTGTTTTGAGTCATTACATTTTACTGGATGACGACTACAGGGTGACTCAACATGGCTCTGTTTGTGGAGATTGATACTTGATAGCTAACAGCCATGTGGTGGGCCTTAGTGAACTCAGGTTAATGAGGAGGTTGTAAAAGACAGAGCTTGGTTTGTGTAGCAGCTAAATAATACCTCAGTAGGATTAACGTCATTGTATCCTATAAAGGTGTATGTATGACCGTTTCAGTAGCAGCTGTATAGAATTTAAATTTGTTCAAGTGTCTTTAGTGTTTCAGAGTGACTGAGAGCAGGAGAAGGGAGAGGAAGGAATGCACGAGGAAGAGGGCAAGAGATGACGCAGTTAAACCTGCTTGGTTTCCTAGAGACTCATTTGTTTACATGCTGTTGCTGGGTCATGGGACACGCAGGTTACTGTATGCTCACTCACTCAGACCACACTGCATGGAGCACTTCTACCAAAAATCGGCTGTTTCTATTGTGTTCAAGAATATCAGTAAACTCTTTTGTTCATGAATGCCTCAACTATGTCTATCACTGTTTTGAGGTTTGTACTAGGCTGCAGGTGCCTCACACATCACTGTGAGCTGGTTACCAAAGGCCTCCTCTGAGGGTACGAAGATACAGTCACTGGATGTCTTTGATATCTAAGACCCTGCTTGGCTGGACTCCGTCATACTTGGGTTCACTCTTACAAAGAGCTAACAGTTGCTACGCCTTTCACTCAAACAACATTTTTCTTGTGCTTGTGCCCTGAGTTCAGACAGGAAATGAGAATGGTAAATGGACTGTACTTATATAGCACCTTTATATCCATCTGGGACACTCAAAGTGCTTTACACTGCAGACGTTCACCCATGCACACACACACATTCACACACTGATGATGGCAAACTACATTGTAGCCACAGCTGCCCTGGCGCGCAACGACAGAGGCGAGTCTGCCATACACAGGCGCCGCCGGACCCTCTGACCACCTTCAGTAGGCAAGGCGGGTGAAGTATCTTGCCCAAGGACACAACGACTGAGTCGACTGGACGGGGATCGAACCGGCGACCTTCCGGTTCCAGGACGARTCTCCTAACCACTCTACCACAGCCGCCCCTAAGAAACAAGCATTCAGTGTCGCTGCTTCACCAGCATGGAACCATCTCATTCTGAACTCAAAATTCCCAATCTTTTATTTTAATTATTTCCAACTTTTCATAATAAACTATGCACAGCTACGTCCATATCTATTTAGACAGAGACATTTTCCTAAGTTTTGTTCTAGAATTACCACAATGAAATCTGAACAAAACCTTTCAGATGCAGTTAAAGTTCAGACTCTCAGCTTTAATTCAGTGGGTTGAACAAAATCATTGTATAGAAATGTGAGGAACTAAAGCAGTTTTTAACACAACCCCTTCATTTCAGAGGCTCGAAGTAATTGGACAAATTAATTTTAAATAAAATGTTCATTTCTTATACTTAGTTGAAAACTCTTTGTTTGCAACGAAGGCCTGAAGCCTTGAACTCCTGAACATCTCCAGATGTTTCCTTTTTTTTTTAAAGCTCTGTCACATGGAGCCATGTCCAAGCCATCACACTGCTCTGCTGTTTTACAGATGATGTGGTGCTTTGGATCATGAGCTGTACCACGCCTTCGCCATACTTTCTCTTTCCATCATTCTGGTAGAGGTTGATCTTGGTTTCATCTGTCCAAAGAATGCTCTTCCAGAAAAGCTGCTTTTTTACATGTTTTTTTTTTTAGCAAAGTCCAGTCTATCCTTTTTACTCTTGAGGCTTATACGGTGTGTCTTGCAGTGTGCAGTGAACCCTCTGTATTTACTTTCATGCAGACTTCTCTTTATGGTAGATTTGGATATTGATACTTCTACCTCCTGGAGAGTGTTGTTCACTTGGTTGGCTGTTYTGAAGGYGTTTCTCTTCACCATGGAGATTATTCTGCCATCATCCACCACTGTTGTCTTTCATGGACATCCAGGTCTTTTTGCATGGATGAGTTCACCAGTGCTTTCTGTCTTTCTTTCTTTCTCAGGATGGACCAAACTGTAGATTTTACCACTCCTAATATTGTAGCAATTTATCCGACGGGTTTTTTTCTGTTTTTGTAGCTTAAGCATCACAGCCAGGGACCTAAAAAGGCTAAACAACCTGATAAAGAAGGCTGGTTCTGTTCTGGAGACGACTGTGGAATCTCTGGAGATGATGGTGCAAAGAAGGATTTTACATAAAATCAAGAACATTGTGGACAACCCTGACCATCCTCTTCATCAGACTGTCATAGAAAGACAAAGTGTCTTCAGTCGGAGGCTTCTTCAACTTCGCTGTAATACAGACCGCTACAGAAGATCTTTCCTGCCCACAGCCATCAGCATCTACAATAAGTTTTTAATTAAATGAGTTACAACAACACCTAATTTCCCTCTGGGATCAATAAAGTATTTTTGAATTGAATTTGAATTGAAGGATGGCTTGTTTCACCTGCATGGAGAGCTCCTTTGACTGTATGATTATTTCATAGCAAAACCTTTCAAATGCAAGCACCACACCTCAAATCAACTCCAGACCTTTTATCTGCTTCATTGAGAATGACATAATGAAGGGACTGCCCACACCTGTCCATGAAATAACCTTGGATTCAATTGTCCAATTACTTTTGGTCCCTTTAAAAACAGGGTGGCACATGTTAAGGAGCTGAAACTCCTAAACCCTTCATCCAGTTTTAATGTGGATACCCTCAAATGAAAGCTGAATGTCTGGACTTTATGCTCATATAACTATAACTTAAATTGTTTAAGCAGGTAAAAAACAAACTTTGTGTTGGTGTCCATATAGATATGGGCCTAACTGTAATTCCATTATTCAGTGTCAGTGTTTTAAATGTTTTTTAAACAGTTGCTACTGCCTTTTATGATTGTTTACATTGTTCAGATGTTTACTTTTTTTATAGTTGTGAATTATGTAACTGTTTTATAAGGTTTACTCTTTACTTGTCCCCAGGACCACCTTGCAAATATCTCGATCTCAGTGAGGTTTTAATCTAGTTAAATAAAATAAATTAAATTATATGACTTTAGTTTCAGTCACTGGTGGGGGCTGCCCTCTGCAATAAATTAAACTATCCATCAAACCATCATCGGGTGTCTGAAAATACAGAAAAACCTGAACATTTATAATCTTATTTGTATCTGTGTCAAAAAAATGTATTTAGAGGTTGTTGCTTTAGTTTTCATAAAGTTCTCAAAAAGGTCAGTGCAAACAGGAATGAGTTGAAGTCTCATATTTAAGTTCAGAATATCTTCACAGCTCATTTATATCTGATCATAAGGCAAAGTTTTGCTTCCACTCTCCATCGCTCAATGTGGTTTTAGTAGTTGTTTTTATTAGATAAGTGTACAAAGAATTCTAATCAAAAGCGCCAACAAACTGTGTATTGTACAGCTTGTTTTGCTTTACTGAAACTCAACTTTCTTTTTTTAAGTTTTAAAATCCAGTCGATTCATCTGATGCCTGGCTTCTCTGTTTTCCAAAGATTGGCACCATGCATAGAGAAACTCGCATCAGTCCACCTGTAGTTTGATCCTGTAATATAAAGTAACTCACTATGACCATCTGTTCTCCACTGCAGGAGCGGGGAGGACTGGAGGAAGCACCAGAGCAGAAGGACAAGGTGCAGGCCTTGAAGGACCAGGTGGATGGAGTGAAAGACATCATGACTCAGAATGTGGACCGGATCCTGGCCCGAGGAGAGAGGCTGGATGACCTCATGGACAAGTCTGAGGATCTGGAACAAGGGGTCAGTCTTACCACAAGTTTTACTCAGACAGGGGTTTGTCTAGAACTGGATTGTAATGTGGATTATGCAGGTGTGTGGATCATTACATCCAGCTGGCATGAAATCACAAAAATAAGAACAGACAGAACTGAAAAGGTGAAATTTCATTTTTTGAGATTAATTTTGTGAATTAAATCAAATGAACTTGTTTTTTATAGCCCACAGATGGATCCTAACTTGTGCTAGGACCCCCATAACAGGCCGCCTTTAAACAAAAAAGAAACATTTATTAGCTGAGCCTTGTCTGATACAAGATGTATGAAGTGCTGCCACACAGGATTTGTTTTTTCAGCCATTTCTTTAAAAAAATTAAAAATTAAAAAAATTAATGATTTATTTTATCTAGTGCTAAATATTTGGTTTATATTTGTATATTAATCAGATTAATATTTTTTACATAAAATAAAATGACTGTTTTAATATCCCAGCATTTTTTGATGCAAAAACAGCAACATGCATAAAGAGGAACACAGAGACAAAGGAGAGAGACACAAGTACATCTTGCTATTTTTGTGAGGACTACACACACACACACACACACACACACAGCGCTCACAGTCTGCCTCAGTCTGTAACTGTTTTTTTACACTGGGCAAAAAATGCATTTAAACCAGCTGACGTTAACTTTAGATCACAGTTTGAAATGTACGCTGAAGAAAACCTGCATCATGACTATTATACTGCGGCAGAGACGATTGCTTGCAAGAGAAGCTCAGCTTCCCCTAAAATGTAAAAAAAATAAGTGATCAAATATATACTGTTGTGAGTATGTCATTGACTACCGTATTTATTCAAGTATAATACGTAAAATTTAATCCATAAAATCATCCACAAAGTTGGGGGTAGTATTATACTCGGAAAAATATTTTTACTTGTGTATTTTAACTGAAATATCGGCAAAATTATTGAGTCCGGAAATGAGACCGCATTGTAAAAAGCAGTTGAAACGAGCTCACCTGTGACACTCCTCCATGCTTCAGAGCGAGATAATAACAGATCCAAGCAGGCGACATGATGTGATAAAAAGGGGGGGAAAACAATCCTGCACCTTAGTAATGATAAGAACTAATGACATTAGCGTGTGACTGAGCCGCTCCTCGAACAGCAACAAAAACATGTTCGTCTGTAATGGCTGCCGTCTACCGGTGTTCTGAAAAAGTTTGTATCCCTGAAAAAAAGTTTCCCCACTAGAGGTGGCGCTCACGAGTAGGAAGTAATCTGCTTTTCCCCCAGAAGGTGGTCCAAACCTCATGTGAAGTCTCTGACTTTTGTGTTGGCGCATCCTGGTGGACTATGTGTAAAATGTCAGAATTCATATAATGCTCAAAATCATAGTTTGCTGATTATATTTGTTGTTAAAATAAAATGAACAGTCCAATGATCATTTTACTGATATGTATAAAGACTGCAAAGGCTGAAAAATCTTGAAGTCTTATGAAATTGGAGGTAGTTTGAGGATTAAATTTTTTATGCTTTTTAAGCTCATAAAAGGGGGTCGTATTATACATGAGATCGTATTATACATGAGATATTATTATACACAAATAAATATGGTAAATATGTGTTACAATGCGCTCAACTTTTGTTCAGAATCATCTTCTTATCACTGGTAACGATGCGGCTTTCCTTTACCTCATTCCCGCACCTTCACAGTGCTTTAACAGTGCAGATGCTCAGCTTCCACAGACTTCAATAGTGAGGCAAAAAAAAATGCAGCGAAACGAGATGAGTCATTGGATAAATTCTGGGCTTTGTCCCGCCCACAGACACTCAGCGTCTCTGGAGGGCTGTGTCCAAAACGGCAGGACGGGTCCTCCGAAGGTCGAATTTGTCGGCTGCATACGTCACAGCGCCGCGACGAAGGACGTCCAAAACGGAAGACTCCTCCGATGCGTCCGACAAATACGTCCTTCTTTTTCCCCGAATCGAAGGACAGGTC